AACATTCCCCAAAGTACATGATAGTTCTAGAAACGTTGCGTCACAGTAGTCATGTGACTCGATGACGCAACAGTATGTTACTAAAACCACAGGGTTAATATTTTCCAACTGCTTTCAGGCCGTATAATTTTAAACATTCTTCAACTAACTTAAAGAATATTCATATGTTTGCCGATTACAATGAATTGAAAATAATAACACGAAATAATGTGTTTGTAAAATGTACGTACGTATGTATACGATACCGTTCTTCAAATTGAACGCTCATGATAACCAAAAGCACGCAGGATCAAGAGAAAAAAAGTTAGTTTAAGAAAAGAAACCCAATAACCCGAGCGTCTTCCAAAAACACTTGGATACTTAAAATGTTTCGGAACCTGTTGTAAAAATGGATATACACGCTTAATTTTGATAACTTTGATTTAGCCAAAAATTTCTTATCAGCTACAAAATAACTTAGATTCTACACCGATATTTCAAACAACCTTTGAAATCCTTTTAATACCACATCTTTATATTTAACTTACTCCAATGTATATTAGCATTTCTACAGTTTTTAGGATAGTAAACATGAGTTTTGTAAAAATAGAAACAAAAAAGAAATTTGAAAAAAAAAACATTTGTGTTTAAGACCTACCAAAATTATTCATTAAATAAGTTTTGACTCTTTTTTCCTTTCATAAGTTTTCGAACGACGTGACGAAGTTGTATTCTCAACACATTTTGAACAATGTGAGTGGCTGACGAGTTATTTGTTCGATTGACGTTTTTAGTTACCGGTAGGTTACTTTTTCTGTACGTTGAAATGTAGGTAATCTTTTTCTCTTTGAATTTCATAAGCTGGAGTTTATTGCAGGCACTTCAATTTTCATTTTTTTTGTAATGCTGATGTATTGGCTCATATAAGACTAACTGTTGATCAGTCAAGAGTCTAACAGTAACAGTGTAACGTATAACTATGAGTTTAACCTTAAAATAATTATTACGTGTTCAACTTGTTATTATGGTATGACGATGATTGACTGATATATGGTAATACTAATAATACTATTGACCAGTTCTGAAAATTACTCATTAAAATTAGTGTTTGAAGCTACACTCAGTCACTGTTATTTTTAGTCGTACTTAGACATATACTTGGAGTCTGAAGTCTTACATTTAAAATTTGATTTAACTTTTTAGTTTTATCCCAAACTTCTAGAAGTTATTGTTCGAACTAGACCGTAGACGTAATATTACAATTTACAGTGATACTGATACCTGATGTAGGCATAACGTTATGATACATATGGACGACGGGAAATATTAAAATTGTTAAATCAAATGCATGTGATAATAACCTAAACTCATGAGATACAAAATATGAGATAGTGAGACATATAACTTCTGCCTAAAGTCTAAACTTAAGGATATGTTTAAAAATAAACTTTGTAATTTTACTCCCATTTTGGAATTTGCTTCTAATCTGAGTTCTAATAAAGTTCTAAGTAGTTTTAACTTCATTTCTAAGAATGGCAGACCAATCAACATTTTAATTTCAATGTGTGTCACTGTCCTAGGATATTTTGTGCTGTTTGCTATATGTTACAAATATTATAATCAGAGTTGTATTTATAACAGTGAGAGAAAATTTTATTTTACTAAAATGATTAATTTCTTTTTTTCTAAACCACTTAACTTATGATGATTTGACTTTTGTGTATTTATTTTAGGTCATCTTGCTCTGACGTTTATTCCTAAGACTATTTGATCAAAACAACTAAAAGCAGATCTTCTCCTTACATTTAGAAAATACACTAACACTAGTAACAGCATTCACCACTTCATCAGGCCAACTAATTAAACAACTTTTAAACTCATAAAGAAAACTTGTTACTCCTAATTTTAAACTTCATAATTTCAGTAAATCACAAAAGCAGGCCATTCCTAGACAGATTGTCATTGCTTCTAATAATTTTAAACATCTGAACTTCTTTGAATATAATTCCAAACTATTAAACTCCTTTTTTTTTGTCACAGAAACTGAGTGTTGTGGTTGAACTTTTGAGTACTATCATGGTAACATTTTTATAGTGAAGAAACAAACTTTATACAGTTATTTTATAATCAGATATAAGATGTACATCTGTAAGTAATTTTGTTACAGTAATATATTCTTTACATTATACTCTTTAAATAATAATGTCTAATTTATAATGAGCAATGTATGATTACGTGTGTAGGTAATATAACAAAGTCATATATATATGTATATCTGAAAGTGTCATTTTGAAGTAGAAGTGCTTGAGAAATGAATGCTTGTTAGTTTTCCCCTCTGATCTGAGTGACGAGGCTGAAATTTGCTCGAATGATCGTACTGGTTCTGACATAAAGGTGTATTTTTGTAAATTTAGGGTTTATTCTTGATTTTTTTTTAGATAACTTCTAAGCTGTTATTATATAGTTTTTATTGTTAATTTCAGCTACAACTTTATTTATTAGGAAGTACATTACTTGAAGGACATGTGAAAGTATAGGTAGGTCAGATCATCCCAAACTTAGAGATCAATTTATTGATACAGTATCAAACTACAACTTTTTTAACGTGCCATACCAAATATATCGTCATGTTTGATGTTTTCTCTCAATATGGTGACCAAATGTCTGCATATGAGGAATGCTGTCACCGAAAGCGTCTCATGTTAAAAAAATCACTGAAAATCCTTTAGTTTCATTTCTGATATTATTGTTAACTCTGAAGTAAAAATACATATGAAATCAGTACTTGGCTGGTTTTCATTATCAATTTGTCAAAGAACAATAAAATCCTATAACAGATATTCATGAGAAAAACATGATTGGCACTAAAACAGAAAGTTTCTCTGTTACCACCTGAACCTGGAAATATGGTGACTGTAGGTAAACTTTTGGTACAAATGTTCCTGGTTTTGGATAACAAAATATGGTCACCTTACATTAAACTTGGTGTTTTTAGTGATTTTTTATTAAATAGAAATTTAAGTGCTCTTAGCAGATAAATCTTAATTTATTTTGTCATTTCTGATTAAAAAAAATTTTTTTTTTTGTTTTTCAGGGTAACAGTGAATTAAACTAATGAACAGAAATGAAGAGAAATCAAGTTTGAGAAAATTTGGGTATTTGTTGTAGTTAGATATTGCTGAAAATCAGAAAAAAAATAAACTTGAATAAGAGAAGAATTGATGTTTTCAAAATAAATTAACCATTCTGGAAGAAAGTTGTTAAACAACACTAGAAACTTTTACAGAATCTCATGGTTAACTACATATCTTGTAGCCAAACAAAACCTTTAGATTCAACTAACGTGCAAAAATAATCATGAAAGAAGAGGATGTGGAAATAGCTATTAAGGTAAGTATTTCTGACTTTCATTTTACTTTTGGTGTGAAATATGTTATTGTCTTGTTGAGTACAGAAGTTTGTATTTAAACAACTGGAAGACATCCTACATTCACTATACAGAAGTTTGTATTTAAACAACTGGAAGACATCTTACATTCACAGTACAGAAGTTTGTATTTAAACAACAGGAAGACAACCTACATTCACAATACAGAAGTTTGTATTTAGACAACTGGAAGACAACCTACATTCACAATACAGAAGTTTGTATTTAAACAACTGGAAGACATCCTACATTCACAATACAGAAGTTTGTATTTAAACAACTGGAAGACATCCTACATTCACAATACAGAAGTTTGTATTTAGACAACTGGAAGACAACCTACATTCACAATACAGAAGTTTGTATTTAAACAACTGGAAGACATCCTACATTCACAGTACAGAAGTTTGTATTTATACAACTGGAAGACATCCTACATTCACAGTACAGAAGTTTGTATTTAAACAACTGGAAGACATCCTACATTCACAGTACAGAAGTTTGTATTTAAACAACTGGAAGACATCTTACATTCACAGTACAGAAGTTTGTATTTAAACAACTGGAAGACATCTTAGATTCACAGTACAGAAGTTTGTATTTAAACAACTGGAAGACATCCTACATTCACAGTACAGAAGTTTGTATTTAAACAACTGGAAGACATCCTACATTCACAGTACAGAAGTTTGTATTTAAACAACTGGAAGACATCCTACATTCACAGTACAGAAGTTTGTATTTAGACAACTGGAAGACATCCTACATTCACAGTACAGAAGTTTGTATTTAAAGAACTGGAAGACATCCTTCATTCACAGTACAGGAGTTTGTATTTAAACAACTGGAAGACATCCTACATTCACAGTACAGAAGTTTGTATTTAAAGAACTGGAAGACATCCTTCATTCACAGTACAGAAGTTTGTATTTAAACAACTGGAAGACATCCTACATTCACAGTACAGAAGTTTGTATTTAGACAACTGGAAGACATCGTACATTCACAGTACAGAAGTTTGTATTTAAACAACTGGAAGACATCCTACATTCACAGTACAGAAGTTTGTACAAACTTCTGTGTTTTGAATGTACAATGTCTTCCAGTTCTTTAAATGGATGTCTTCCAGTTGTTTAAATACAAACTTCTGTACTGTGAATGTAGGATGTCTTCCAGTTGTTTAAATTACATTCACAGTACAGAAGTTTGTATTTAACAATCTGATATTATAAAATGTAATGCAGTGACATGATTGTAAAATGTGAAACAGCCGTAACTGGAACATAAATCAGTAATCTACCTGTGTATGAGTATACATATTTTATAACACTTACGGATATGGACGTAATAATATTTACATATTGTGTTGGTTTTCTTTCAAGGTTGTCGTCGTTGGGAATGGAGCTGTGGGCAAGTCGAGCATGATTCAGAGATATTGTAAGGGAATATTTACTAATGATTACAAAAAAACTATTGGTGTGGACTTTCTTGAAAGACAGATTGAGTGAGTGTAAATATATAGGAATCCTTTAGTTACTTTTACGTCTGATTAAATATTAAACTGTTGGACTCTAAGAAGGAGGTATTTCAAAGACTGTTCTATTGTACTTATCTGTGTATCACTTAATTGTACCGTCACTCATATCAAAGTTTGGACAAGGTATTTTGATAGAGATCGTGTTTACTTGATTCTCTAAAGATTGATAAGAATGTGGAACGTAAAGATTGTTTTGATAAAGCTGCCACTAACAAGCAATAGAACTGTTGTTTGTGTTTGATTTTAGACACTGAAATATGGTTAAGCAACTGTAAGATAAGATAATATTGCTGTATAAAATGGAGATACAATCTTAGTGATTCTAAATATCAAAGTTAAATATTAAGTGGTAGTTTTTCCATAGACAACAGATATCTGCATCTTTCATTATGATACTCTGTTGATAAGAAATGTATGAATGTAAGAGTTCCACCACCGTTTTAGGTATAATATCGTTTAGGAATCATCTGCTCCAAAGGGCGTGAAGAAATATTTACGGGTTCCAAATAGTTGCTAATGTATAAAATTTTCAACAGCAAATTACAGTTAGTGGATTTTGATTAGTGAAGATAGAGACTTGTTTTATTTAAAAATGATATAAAGCATCTTATTTTGGTTTGAAGTTTTGTATATTTGTTGTAGTAACTTGGTGAGAAAAAAAACGTTGTGTGTTTCTAAAAGCCTAATTAGAATGTAAGTGCTCTGTTTATGTAACAAAAAGTGTGATTCTTCATTAAAAACTAACAGTTAATATGTTATTCAAGAAAGCTTGAAACAAGAACATAACATGGCATTGGTGTAAAGAGAGTCAGAGTCTGCTAGTATTTTGTTAATAAGTATTTCATAGAAGTAGGTTTTCACTAATATCTTGTACTTTTGGCAGAGTTGACTGTGAGGACGTGAGACTCATGTTATGGGACACAGCTGGCCAGGAAGAGTTTGATGCCATCACTAAAGCCTATTACCGTGGTAAAAATGAATAAAAACAATACGAGTAACATTTTATATTACATTAATAAACTTTATTACAATAACAAGAAACGTTCACAAGTAAATAATTAGAAAAACAATGTGACTAGTTTTGGTCATGTAAAAGAATACATGGGATTTGATCAACAGTGTTGATGTGGTATGACATAAATGATCAGGTCAGTGGGATATTATAGGTGATCAGATCAATGTGTTATGATATAGATGATCGGATCGGTGTGATATGAACAATGTGACTAGTTTTGGTCATAGAATACATGGGATTTGATCGACAGTGTTGATGTGGTATGACATAAATGATCAGGTCAGTGTGATATTATAGGTGATCAGATGTGTTATGACGTAGATGATCGGATCGGTGCGATATGATACCAGAAATCTCATAAACACAAAAACAACAAGACACTAGAACCTTATGACAGATTGTCCGAGTGGACTGATGTTTTAAGAAAATCAATCAAACTATCAAATAATCACAAAATGAATCAGCTTAGCTAGCACATTTTAGACTTATCAGAAAATTGCAAAACGATCAGTTTAATAGTCCTTAAGTAACACTGAAAACTTGTATACAAGAAATGTATCAGAACTATGAAGTTTATTAATAGTAATTTTCAGATGCACTTTAAATATCTGTTTCTCTGTGTCAGGTGCTCAGGCATGCGTTTTGGTGTTCTCAACGGTTGACAGAGACTCCTTTAAGGCTGTTGAATCGTGGAAAAGTAAGGTGAGTTGACAAGACTTAGGTTTTGGATAGCATTTATAGAAAGATATCTAGATATTTCTCTGTTTTTTTTATTATAATTTGTCCTGGCATCTTAAAGTTGCTTTAAAGTGCCAAAATATATATTTTGCTGCTTATAAAATAATGGGTAAAGTATTTATTTTATGTTAAAGATAAAACTATTGTGGAATTTATATAAAGAAAAAGAAAATGCAAAGTTCTGGATATTGTATGAACAATTGTCCAAGCATGGTTCAGATGGGATTCACATAAGTCCTTGAACTTGTGGAAAAGTCATGGAAAAATCTAAAAAATTTCAGAACTGGAAATTTTGGATAAATTGCTATTCTATAAAAATCCTGAAATTTTAGTTTTGATGAAACATGCATGAATTAATTAATTTAATTTAAAATAGTAATTATTTTGGTTATTGTAATTGGGTTTATTAACTAGTGTGAATCTTGTGGCTTGAATAACCCGAGGCTATTGCAGTTTTCCCTGGTGGACACATTTGTTAAAATTCCAGGGAAAATGAAAGATTTATCTTGTGTGTCAGGATACGAAAGTTGTGGAAATTTAAGTTTTGGTCCCGGGAAAAGTCATGGAATCTTTTGTGTGTAAGAACCCTTTAAGAGAGTTCAGTTAAAGTTTGAGTATGGGTCCTGAAATCAATGTTTTTTTTTATGAACCCTTTTATAGAATTAATTTAACAATGGGCATTTTACTTGAGTTTGTTAATTTTATATTTTCAAAACTAAACTGACAACAAAAATGGGGAAACTGTTATGATGTCCTTAACTTACTAGGATTCTCAGCTTGTTATAATGTTCTTAACTTAGTAAGATTCTCAGCTTGTTATGATGTTCTTAACTTAATAGGATTCTCAGCTCGTTATGATGTTCTTAACTTAGTAGGATTCTCAGCTCGTTATGATGTTCTTAACTTAGTAGGATTCTCAGCTTATGTTCTTAACTTAGTAGGATTCTCAGCTTATGTTCTTAACTTAGTAGGATTCTCAGCTTATGTTCTTAACTTAGTAGGATTCTCAGCTTGTTATGATGTTCTTAACTTAGTAGGATTCTCAGCTTGTTATGATGTTCTTAACTTAGTAGGATTCTCAGCTTGTTATGTTCTTAACTTAGTAGGATTCTCAGCTTGTTTTGATGTTCTTAACTCAACAGAATTCTCAGCTTGTTATAATGTTCTTAACTCAGCTTGTTATAATGTTCTTAACTTAGTAGGATTCTCAGCTCGTTATGTTGTTGTTAACTCAGCAGGATTCTCAGCTTTATTAATATTGGGAGCTGCAGGAAATTTGACAAATAGAATGTATTAGTAAGTCTAGAAAACTTGAGTCTGGAACAGAATTTCAGAGTTTCACAAATCTCTCAATCCTCTCGGACATCAGGTCAGAAATTCTCACAGTCCGACATGTCTTTTAGTACTGTTGTACCTTCAGTCCGACATGTCTTTTAGTACTGTTGGACCTTCAGTCCGACATGTCTTTTAGTACTGTTGGACCTTCAGTCCGACATGTCTTTTAGTACTGTTGGACCTTCAGTCCGACATGTCTTTTAGTACTGTTGGACCTTCAGTCCAGCATATTTTCAAGTAGACTTACCATAATTTCACTAGAATAAGTTAAGTTTCTGTAATTTTCACAGTCATTTTTAGAAGATTCTTGAGGAGAATTTACCCCGAGACTGCAGTACGTGCTTTTTCTTTCTATATATATATAGATATTAATGTTAAATTTTCCCCTGGTTAGCTGATGACTTTTAATGCAGCCAGTGAGATTCTCCTTAAGAAAACTTACTAGGTATTCTATTGATTACAAATGGCAACATGGCCAATTAAATACACTGCCGGGGCAAAGCCGGATGTACAAAGAAAATCTTTGCCAGCAAAGGATGGTAACGTCGGTAAAGAAAAACAGAAAATCTTTGCCAGCAAAGGATGGTAATGTCAGTAAAGAAAAACAGAAAATCTTTGCCAGCAAAGGATGGTAATGTCAGTAAAGAAAAACAGAAAATTTATGAAGCTATGAGAAAGTTGATAAAAGGGTCTGAGAAACGTGGCTTACTTTTGACAAAGAGCAAGGTGTTATGAAGTACACTACTTGTATTGGGATCTTCGGCAATCCTTCAGTAGAAAACTGAAGCAAGCACTCTGGCCACCTCTTCATTAGTGGAGGAACAAAGAATTTTAACACCTGCATAGAAGACGACTATTTCTGATGTTTTGATGCCTATATCTGCCAAGTTGAACAATGATGATGCAGACAATGATACAGATACTAACACTGAAGTGGAAGAGGTTGTGTTGGTTTGAGTTCAGAGAGAATATGAATACAATCAACATCTGAATTGAACTGTGTTGTTGTTGTTTTTTAAAGTATTCTATGTTATTACTCTAATCAGGTTGCAATCTGATGATTATCATCGCTTATTAAAACAAAAAAAATTATGTAATACCAATTTTATTGTTCGGTCCACCAAAATCTGAGTTGTTCCACTCAATTTTCAATCACTTTTGGACCAGATGTCTGCCAGAACTTTTAAACTCTGGGATTTAACATACTGAAAAAACTTTTTGTGCATTAAAATAGTTCTTAAGTTATGATTTAAAATAGGATTGAGTTTTATCGTAATAGGTTGTGTTCATGTATACGATTATATTTTCTTTAACTTTAGGTTGAGAATGAATGTGGAACTATACATATGGCATTAGTTCAGAACAAGATTGATTTGGTAGATGAGGCTCTGGTAACGAGGTAAGCGATAATGTTTATACTGACTGGATCATACATGTGTGGATATACAAACAACGAGTTATAAACGTAATGAAGCCTGATTTACCAATCATGATTTACAGAAGGCTAACACAATAGTTTGGATTCAAACTATTCGAACATCAGAATAATAAAAACAACTTTAATTTGTAATGGCTGCACAACAAAAAATTAAATACTTGCGTGAAATGTTTCACACTTTAAAGAAAAACTACAATCTCTTCTACAGCAGTTACTGAAATCTGACTTCTTGTATTTAGCTTTTATTTGGGTTAATATATTTTCAAGTAATATTTTCTTAAGTTTTATACAGCTTAAGTGTTTTAAACAAGTTTTAATATTCCTCCTGTTTGAACAAATACTTGGAAAAAGGCATTTATTTGATCATTTCCATTAGAATTTTTCCAGTGTAGGATTTAATTTCCAGACCAAATGTTTTAGAATATTTTTTGTATATGTTACAAGACTTGGCTAGTGGTTAGCATTCCTGGACTGTGAACCACAGGAGTCATTGTTCAAAATTTATTACATGAAAAACATGCTCTGCATTTTGGGGCTGTGGGTGTTATAAGAGCGACAATCAGTTTCCACAATTTTGTAGCTGTTTGCTTAAATATATCAATTCAAAATTATGGCCGTGTACAGGTAGCCCTAGTGTAGCTTTTCACATGATTCTGAAACAGATGAAATGTTTCAAGATAAATAAATGGTGTATTTATATGTCAAAACAATAAATTATTAACTGCAGTTTTCAAACATTGACAGGGAAGAAGCTGATGATTTGGCAAAGAGACTGAGGCTACGATTTTACCGAACGTCTGTGAAAGAAGATTGTAACGTTAGTGATGGTAAGACTTTGTTTTACAGAAGATTATAATGTGTGTGTTGAGTTATTAGAACGATTTTACCGAACGTCTGTGAAAGAAGATTGTAATGTTAGTGACGGTAAGGCTTTGTTTTACAGAAGATTATAATGTGTGTGTTGAGTTATTAGAACGATTTTACCGAA